CCCTTGTGTGCATTTTTGGCAGAAAAGTCATGAAGACAGGCAGATACTAATAAAAGAACACGCATCTGTTTTTATTCCATTTGAAAGGGTTTGGATAAAGGTAATGGAAATGATGGTTGTGCTACTGTTATTTGAATCCATGTCCTTTCTAGTCTCTACATGAAGGAATTACATAGTCACTAACAGAGTTCTCAGACCAACAGTGTTTATCTTTTTCCACATCAAGCCCTGGGTACCAACGTTTCTTTCCATGGACATTGACGGGCGTGTCATCAGAGCGGACTCTTTCTCCAAAGTTCTGTCCTCTGGGTAAGGCACTGTGTCTCTAACTTCAGGCTGGATCTAACCGAGATAGAAACTGTGCCTCAGTAGCTTTCTGTCCAAGCAATTCTCATTTAAGATGCCTGTATTCTACTTGCCTTAAAACACCAGTTAAATTATTAATATGAATATAGGCCTTTTCTCTCTTTGTGTCCATCTCCATCGTCAAAGGAACCTGGCATTCATCGAAAGTTGTAGAGCAGTGATTCCCAAAGTGGGCGCTACCGCCCCCTGGTGGGCGCTGCAGCGATCCAGGGGGGCGGTGATGGCCACAGGTGCATTTGTTTTAACTTTTTTTGTATTACCTTTCTATTTTGAGTTCAATAAATAGTTTCATAATTTCAAACTTCAATATTTCTAATTTACACCTTTCTTTACTATATTTTATGAAAAAGGTAGAAACATTAATACATATATCTTTCTGTTTAATTGCTATTAAAATTTTAAAAAAATTAATTTCCAGGGGGCGCTGAGTAATATTTTTTCTGGAAAGGGGGCGGTAGGCCAAATAAGTTTGGGAACCACTGTTGTAGAGGAACTGGTCAGGTTTGGAGTTTCATATATGAAGGAGCACATTTAGAAATGCTTAGTCAGACTTGCATTATGTTTTAAATGTACACTTGAATTTTATGTAAGTAGTAGTTGATTTTATCAGGATGCTTTCATTGTCTAGACTCTAGGTTCATTTGATCCCAGGCCACAGCTCTCTTCCTAATGAAATCAGGAAAATGACATGGATTCATTGTTAATACAGTAGTATTGTACCTTTTCTCACTCTCTTTTTTTTGTGTGTGTGTGCAGGTTGAGAATAGGGTTTATAACAGGACCAAAACCCTTGATAGAGAGAGTTGTTTTGCACACACAAGTCTCAACATTGCACCCCAGTACTTTTACACAGGTAAGGACAATTTAGAAGTAGAAAAAAAATTGTAATTAGATAAGAATAGAAAATAGCTCTTGACAAGTAAGATTGAGTTAAGGTGCCAGGTAGGGAAAACACGGATATTGAATCTCTAGTTCCAGTATGTAGTGAGTCAGCAAACCTGGCACTGCAGGCGTTTACTCTTATAGACAAACTAGAGGCCTGATGCACAAAATTTGTGCAAGAGTAGGCCTTCCTTCCCCTGGCTGCTGGCACTGGCTTCCCTCCAGCTGCCAGCAGGCACCCAGGACCCAGGCTTCCCTCGCAGCCCCGGCTTTGTCCAGAAGGACGTCCGGTCTAATTAGCACATTATGCTTTTATTATTATAGATGAGAATCAAATTAATCTGGTGTTATTTTGTGGCATAGACTAAACTCCATGAGAGTTGGCTATCTTATTCCTCTGCTGTCCCTCGCATCCAGCCCAGGAACTCCATAAAAACTGTTGAACTTCACATAACGGAAATGGGCTTGATGCAGTAATATAGTTTGGGCTTCTTTGTCTTAAAGTTTGTAATGAGAACAAGAATTGCAAACCTGAATAGTGATTCATTGCCTTCACTGCACATATGCTAACCTGTCCTAAAGACACTGGTTGGTATATACTTTAATTTTAAAAAAGTTAATTTTAGAGAATGTGTAAATTTCATCACAAGCTTTGAGAAATTATTGGCTCTATCCCTAATGCAACCATAGAATTAGATGTTAAGGATAGAATTGCTACCTAACAACATAGAAGAATTTATGTAGAATAGGATGTTTGTTTGCTATTTTACATTCCATAATGTACTTTATCATGTTTGGGAACTTTCTCTCTCTCTCTCTCTCTCTCTCTCTCTCTCTCTCGGTATCTGTTACTAACAAAACTTCATTATCCATTCATGACATTTAGAACTTCCATTTTAGATATAAAATCTCCAAATATATTATGTAATTTTATATATTACAACTACTATGTGTTTTTTATATTTAGAGAGGAAGTGCAGTGTGGTAATTAATGGCATGGATCTGCAGCTGGGCCCTCTGACTCGAATCCAGGCTCTGTGATGAGCTGTGTGACCTCAGGAAAGTTAACAACCCTTGTGCCTCATTTTCTCATCAGTAAAATAGAAATAATAGCCTGCCTAATAAGGTCATTACAAGGTTAAATTAGCTAAACTATTTTAATGCATTACAATAGTTTCTGGCACAGCAAGTACTCTATAAATATTTGTCACTTTATTAGCATTGTCTTTGTTATTAACATTTATTCTAAATCACTGACCGACTAAAGCTTGGTTGGGTCAGCTTGTTCTGTTTTCTTATGATGGTTTACGTAGACTCAAGAGTGACTGGCAGAAAACACATGGTAGAGGATGAAGCATGACACCTGTTATTGTCTCACCTCTTTCAGCTCGTGGTATCACAGCTTCTTCACCAGTGGGGACAGGAGGGCTTCCTGGCTCACATAGAGAGGTATGGCATTTCAGGCCCCATTTTTCACATAGAAATGGACTCTGCCTTGTAATTTTTTATTCTTAATTATTCCACAATAAAGGAAAAAACATAGTGGTAAAAAGCTTACCACCAGACAAGTCAAATAAACATGCTCTATTTCCTTATATGGCATTCACTTTCATCAAGATAGAAAATGGATTCTCATAGAGCCTCTTAGTTTCCGCAGTCATTGTACTAAACACATCTCTTTCACTGTTTTCTTCATCTAGGGTTATTGATTACTATAGGAAGCAGAAGGATGCATTACTGAAAGCTGCAGACAAGTGGTTAAGTGGTGAGTAGAACATATACCCCTGTCCTTCGATAAATAGCAGTACCTAAGTAAGTGGGTGATAAACACTGCATAGTATTGTTAATAATCCCGGGGAAAAGAAACAAGAGTCCAGGAGTATTCTTGTCAAGAAAATATTACCCTATAAATAATCTCAGAAGTAACAGTCTGCAAACCCTGACCCATTTCTACCTAGCTGCTGTGAAGAATTTGTCCCTTAAAAAAAAAAAGACCAATCAGTCTAATAATCAACCAGCAATAAGTTAGTTCAAGCTAAATAACATCTATACTCAAAAATTTTTAGAGTTATTTCAAAATTTTCCTCTAAGTAGAAGAGGAATTGTGAAACAAACAACATACTCTTTTTCTAGCTGGATTATCTAAAGACAAAAGGCTAATAAAGCCTACAGAGGATTTCTCATTACAAATGACTTGCCTTTTAATCACTAACCTCATTTATCTGTCTAATACTCTCTATTGCTAACTTAATTGCAGGGTGGGTTTAATTTTCTATTAAAAATAAGAAAGTAAAATGAATTACATGGCTTTAATTATATCATGAAAAATACCTCTGGTATGAATAACAGTAAGCAAAATATATCAATTTCTTAATACTGTCATAGCTTATTTCCTATGAAGTATTGATAAAAATATAATTATTTTTTTGATAAAGAGTACTATTCTACCATTTTTTACAGTGGAGCTGAAGAAAAGGTTTTAATCAACAGCAACAAAAAGATAATTAAAGTCAAAATAATTATCCTTCCTTCTTGTTTCTCTATCCTCATACTCAATGAAACATAAAGCCTACAAATGCAACTGGAATTCCTGATTTTAAGTACTTCTTTTCATAATTAGTTACATTCTGATAAAAACTTTAATCAATGGGACTTCTAAACTATTACATAAATGATAGCATTGATTGAAACACTGGAAGAATCTAGAAAGAGTTGAAGAATCTTCTTCTAAAATTGAAAGAGTCATATTTGGCTCAGTTATGGGTCTAACTAAAGGAAGTAGACATAGACACTAGACTTCTTGTGCCACCCTAAATAGGCACACACGAGTCTCCCTCCCTGCCTTCACCCCCTTTCTCATTCACTTTTTATTTTATTTTATTGAGAGAGCGAGAGAGAGCGAGAGACATCAATTTGTCTCCTTTTACTTATGCACTCACTGGCTGAGTATTGGTTGTGCCCTGACCGGGGCTCAAACCTGCAACCCGGGAGCATCTGGACAACGCTCTAACCTGACCAGGGCTTACTCACTTTTTTTAAAAAATAAAACTCATGCCGACTCATGCCGAAACCGGTTTGGCTCAGTGGATAGAGCGTCGGCTTGAGGACTGAAAGGTCCCAGGTTCGATTCCGGTCAAGGGCATGCGGGCACATCCCCAGTAGGAGATGTGCAGGAGGCAGCTGATCGATGTTTCTAGCTCTCTATCTCTCTCCCTTCCTCTCTGTAAAAAATCAATAAAATATATTTAAAAAAAAATAAAACTCAGACCATCAATTTTCAGGACTCATAAAACTATATATTTTTAAATGCTATCACTGAAGGAACTTTTATGGAAATACTAGTTTATAGTCATTGCAATTATGTCATTAAATGATATGTGATATCAAATATAGCTTCAGCAGATATTTATTCCCTTCTATTTGTAGGTTTGGCAGAGTGGCATGCTCCTACTGCTGGGATGTTTGTATGGATTAAAATTAAGGGCATTTCTGATGCAAAAAAACTGATTGAAGAAAAAGCCATTAAGAAAGAGGTAAAAAGGCAGAAATAGTTATACTGTTACTTTAATGTAATTTCTTACTTAAATAAAAATGGAGAGAGATGTTTATCATTGCCTACCACCCCAACTCATCATGTTTTAATATCAGATATGTTATCTCATTATTAAAATCATAATAGATTGTTGGGTTACATAATTATTATTCTGGTCTAAATTAATGGAAATATAGTCATTGATCTCAGCTGCTGATTGGTTTCATGGCTAAGAGCACAGTCCCTGGAGCCACACTCCTTAGGTTTGAATCCCATTTTCACCCTTTACTGGATGTGTGGCTTTGGGTAAGTTACCCTCCCTGCGTTTCAGTAATAATGAGACTTTCTCCCTCATAATGTTGTTATGATAATTTAGTAAATATATATAAAGCACATAGACTAGTAAATACTCAATAGGTATTAGCCTTTAGTATTTAAAATAGAGCCCTTCCCCCCCCCCACAAATTATGAAAGTAAACCATATTCATGGTAGCAAACTTAGAAAAATATAATGAAAATTTTTTAAATAGCTCAATTTCACCACCCAGATTTTAAGACCATTTGTGGTGTATTTATTTGAAGAGCCTGTATATAGCTGATATTTTGGCTACACAATTATTTTACATGGTTAAAATTACCCAGAAAAGTTTCTATCCTGCTGTTTTTACTTCAAATTAGCCCATGATGATTTCTTCCATGTTTTTTTATTCTCCCTTTGTACTTAAATCATAAGTCTATTTAGATTTCATTCAGGGGCATTGAGTAATCTCAGAAATCCAAGTATTTTTCTGTATAGCTTTCCAATTTACCAAAGAAATTATCCTTTCTCCATTAATTAATTCTCTTACCATGTTTATCAGTCTTTTGTAAACACTAAGATCTATTTCTAGTATCATTTTATAGTATCAATTTTTGCCATGAAGCAATAGAATAAATGATACAAAAGAATAGATTGTGTTGATGGTGGCAAGTGCCCTGCTAGTACCTATGAGATGAAGCAGTCTATAGGTTAGACCTAGCAACTGGTTGGATTTCTGGGCTAGCCCCACTCCTTGGGAAACTCATTCATCCTCTCTAACCATCTTACTGGAGGGAAAGACTCATGCTTTATGCATTGTTCTAATCCTAGCAACAACACACAGTAGGTACTTACTAAATATGTAACTGGTTTATTTCAAAGAAATATATTTTAGTAAAACAAATCAATTTTATATTTTCTTTGGTTTTCTATCAATGCCATTATCTTTAAGAACATTTGATAAGTGGCTATTTGTATGTATCTCTGAGCTACATGCTAAGGATATAGACTTCATATTTTATTGCACTTTTTTTTCAGTCCTCTTCATTTATTCCAGATATCCTGTTGCCTGTACCTTTACTTTTTCTAAATAATCTCCAATTTTATCACCACTGCCTTAGCTCAGACTTTGGTCATCTTGCAGAGAGATTTTTTTCCACTCCCTCCTTCTCGTACAGCAATTTGTTTCTAGCACATCCCAAAACTTTTCGGCTAAATTGGGAAAAATGATTTTCATTTTATTGTTACTAAGAACACAAAAACCTATCTTCTGCCTTGAAATCTCTTCCCCAGAGTGCCCCAAATCATTCCATTCCCTACTCCTCTTACCTTAGCAGACAGTGCCCAGATTTGTACCATGTAACAACAAGCAGTTACTAATACTTTTGAATGTCATGATTGTACTACATTAACAATCTCAAAGATTTAACATAATTGACGTTTATTTCTGACTCACATAAAACTTTCAAGTAACTGATCTTTAGGCAACTGTACTCCAAGCAGTGATTCGGAGACCCTGGCTCCTTCCATCTCCTTGCTCTCCAGTCTTCAGCACAGAGAGTCCACATGGCTACAAAATGGAAAGAGCATGGTGGATCACACAGGGGAAGAATTTTATGGATCAGGCCTAGAAGTAGCACACATCACTTCACATCCATTGACTAGGATTCAATCATGTGTCCACATATAATTGGAAAGAGGCTGGGGAATAGAATAGAATAGATTTGTTGCCCAGGGGCAGAGGAAATGTGCTTTGCCACAGTGAGCTATCTGCCACAGTGGTCCTCAAGCATCACAGTGGTTTTCACCACTGCATCTTGACACACTTACTCAACATTGTTATTCCTTTGCTTTATATATTAAATTTTTTTTACCTTCTTTCAGTTCTTTTCTTCCCATCTCTGGGCCTTTACACTCTGTATCATCTCCCTAAAATATTCTTCCCCTACTTTTTGCTTGGCCAACACCTTTCAGATTCCAGCTTAAAAGTCACTTCCAAATTTGATAACTTAAAAATGGATCTCATTGTTTGAACTTGGTTTTCTAGTTAGATTAAACATTTACTCATGGTTGTTACTGTTTCTATTTCTTTTGTAAGCTGCCCTTTGCCTATAAAAGCTAGAATTCTGATGTTTTTCTTCTGTTTGTATGCATTCTTTTTTTTTTTTTAATCCTCAACCGAGGATATTTTTTCCATTGATTTTCAGACAGAGTGGAGGGAAGGGAAGAAGTGAGGGAGAGAGAGAAACATCGACATGAAAGAGACACATTAATTGGTTGCCTCCCTCATGCACCCTGACCAGGGCCACGGATCCAGCCTGAAACTGAGGTATGATGTGCCCTTGACTGGGAATAGAACCCATGACCCTTTGGTCCACAGGCCAACACTCTAAATACTGAGCCAAACTGGCCAGGGCTCTGTGCATTCTTTCTTTTCTTTTTCTTTTTCTTTTTCTTTTTTTTTTTTTTTTTTGTCTAAAGTTTTATATATGTATTAGTTGAAAAGTCATGAACTACCATAAAAAGACACATTTACTTTGTTGCTAGACTTCTATAGACAAATGAAGATACTGACTTTAATTTTTTTGTTTTCAAGAATAGTTTTCAGACCTACTAAACAGTGTTCATTGATCACCAATATATTATGAAGAAAATATCTTCCCTTCCTTCATAGAATTAAAATGAGCCCAAAGGGCAATTGAGGCCAGTCTCCCTCACTGAGGAAAAAAAATATCAACAAGTCAAAGGGAATAATACTCTCAAATTAATCACAAAGTCTAGCTTTAACCAAAATAATAAGAAGCAAAGAAACAGGTTCCTTAAAACTGTATGTCTGAGAATCCAAGCAGAAGACCCATAAATTGAATGGTGCCATTAACCTTAAAATGAGTTGGTACCTATCTTTGCAGATGGATTGATTATTTATTTGCTTCCTCATGTCATTAAATATGCTTTTCATAAGTTTTATTTTTTTGTTTTGTTTCATTTTCACCCAAGGATATGTTTTTATTGATTTTTAGAGAGAGAAGAGGGAGAGATAAAGAGAAACATTGATGTGAGAAAAACATCAATTGGCTGCCTCTGTAGGTGCCCCAACCAGGGATCAAACACACAACTTAGGTATGTGCCCTGACCGAGAATCGAACCCACATTTACAGGGTGATGCTCCAACTAATTGAGCCACTCAGCAAGGGCTTATATATTTTTTTTATATAATAGATTTGGGCAATTTCAACTACATATAATGTATATGCAGGTGAGAGATTACATAAAAAAATAAAATAATATGTGGTGTAGAGAAAATCGAAAGGGGTGACCTTGAGGGCCACACGAACAACAAAATAAAAATCCTGGGAATCTGATATGCTTATATGTACATATATTATGACACTGACAGCATCCGACCATGATAAAACTGATGTTACTAGTAAACTTGGTTTTCATTGCCTTATCTCACCCTCAGATGGATATTCTTTGTTTGAATTTTTAACATTCTGACAAACTTTTCCTAAATAGTACCCTACTTTCATTAATTCTTATCTATTTTCTATTTTAGGCCTTCCAGAGATTAGCTGAACTTATAAAAGAATCTTTGTGAAGACATCAAACTCTTCATAGTACTCATGGACTTTCTAAATAAATTACTTCAATGTTTTAGCAGCAAGAAATGATCATTAAGACTTACAGATTGTGTTTCATCAAACATGTCATATCTGTAGTCATTAACTAGACAACTTTTAAAGTGCCCTTAAATCCACCATATTGCCAAAATATATTTATAATCCATGTATACCTTTTGATAAATTTTCAACTTGAAAAAAATTATTTTTATCATGAATTTTATTGTTAAGAACTTTGTAACTGCTTTATAATTTCCCTTAAAATTTCTTTGAAACTAACATTTGCAGTAAATTATTTTGAAAATGTAAAAATATAAGTCCAAAATGGTATGTAATGTAAACTTTTTCTATGTTTTAGGAAAATATAATAAAATCTTGTTGCAAAAATTGTTAGAATTTGACCATTATAAATGATTTCAGTAAGAATACCACAGATATTGTTATGCCATAAAAATCCCTTTAAAATAAAATTCTGAAACTAAACATACCTAAAGGCATCAGACTTATTAATTCCAAGTAAGGAGGATAAATCAGGACTTAGAAAAATGTACTACATTGCTTTTTCATAATACTGCTAGTTATGTAATTTGAATCTATTACAACCCCTTGAGGTATTTACGACATGTTAATTTGATTATTTTCTTTCTCACCTTTTAAAAGGTTTATTTTTTCCCATCAGATTACTAAAGTAATATACGCTTATTTAAAAATTTCAAAACAAGCCAGGAAATGTAAGGAATAAAGGAAAAGCAGCCACTTATTTTCTCACCCCCCAAAGACAATTGCTGTCAGCATTTATCATTGGTCCTTTTGGATATTTTTTATACATATTCATGTAACATATAAAAGAATAGAATCTTGTTATGGTAGTGTATCATAAATACCCTGTATTTTTTAATGCTGTGTAACAAATTATCACATTGTTTCAAGATCCAGTAATTGTAAAGTTATAAGTTTCTTAAGGAATTAGGAAATTTATGTCATCCTTTGTGTGTATAAACTTCAGTATTATAATTTTTTTTTCCTGGCATCCAGTTAAGATGTTACATCTTCCTACAGTTAAAGCTCTTGAGCAAAAATCTCACCTCAGAGCTCAAATCAGCTGGCTCAAATCCCTTTTTCTAAGACAACCAATGGTAGTTATTTAGAATATTGTATAGACGCAGAGGCCGATGGAGGATTGAGATGGAGAACCTAAGAAGAAAGTGTAACTTAGAGAGTTAATAAAAGTAAAACTAGCCTTCCAGCCCTGACTGGTTTGGCTCAGTGGATAGAGCGTCAGCCTGCAGACTCAAGGGTCCCAGGTTCGATTCCGGTCAAGGGCATGTACCTTGATTCCGGGCACACCCCCACTTGCGGGCACATCCCCAGTGAGGGGTGTGCAGGAGGCATCTGATCGATGTTTCTCTCTCATCGATGTTTCTAGCTCTCTATCCCTCTCCCTTCCTCTCTGTAAAAAAATCAATAAAATATATATATTTTTAAAAAACTAGCCGTCCACTTACTTTATTCAGTTT